ATTTCTATTTTTAAAAATAAACCGGGAGTGATCTCCCCTAAACTTTCTCGAATATTCTTATATAAAATAACGGGATGGGAACTCTGGCTATAGACATGATTTTTGAATCCATTTTAAATACTTAAAGTTTTAAAAATAGGATAAAATCTCGTAGACAAATTAATTGCACACCAAGTGAACGCCAAATAAAAAAGCGCATAATAGTGCGCAATATTATTATTACTTTCAAAATTTACATTAGTTTTTTGAGAAATCTGAAGTAGCGTAAAGCACTACCTTCAGTCAACGGAAATGACTCAAAATTTAATAAAAGGTAGAGAATTAGATCTTTTACTTACGTATGAAATTTCATTTATCTATCCGAAATAGTACTCAAGTTATAGGCTTTTGAAAAATTCAAAGTAGGAAAAGTACCACTTCCGGTTATCGGAAATCGCTCAAAAGTTGATACGGATCTACGATTTTGATTAAATACTTATATATGAAATTTCATCAACCTAGCTGTAACGGTACTCAAGTTATCGTGTTTACACACGGACAGACACACACACACACACAGACATACGGACAAGATTGCAAAATTATGTTTTTCCGTATCAGTGAGGTGTAAAACGTCGAGATTTGTAAAAATCTCGATTTTTTTTTTTTTGCACGATTACAATACTTTCTCTATACTACGTATATACGAGAAAGTAATAATGTAAAGAAACAGGTAGCTCAAGATATTAAACTGCAGTCCTGATTACTGGTTGTCTAGTTTTATATCAAATCTTACTTAGTAATCAGATTAACAAAAGTCTGGCTTGTGTTGCAAATATTGTCATGTTATTAATAAAATGTTGTTTTGGCTATATAACCAGTTTAACATTTACATTTTTTAAATCATCAGTTCATTTCTTAAAAGCTATACAGCATGGAGGTGGAAACAGATGTGTTAGCTGCAGTTTCATCTATTGTAGATATACAGTCAAATGAATTATCAGAGTTTTCATCTTCTGAAGATTTGAAACCAGATCTATCAACAATAGTATTATCATCTTCTGAAGACATAAAAGCAGAATTGTCAACATTATTTTATTTCCAGGATATTAAACCTGACATGACATTTAAAACCCCTCAAGATGTTAAACCTGATGTTACACCAGAATTTTCTTCTTCTGATGACATAAAACCAGAATTATCATTTTTTAATTTCCAGGATATGAAGCCTGATTTGACATTTAAAACCCCTCAAGATGTTAAACCTGATGTTACACCAGAATTTCCTTCTTCTGATGACATAAAACCAGAATTATCATTTTTTAATTTCCAGGATATTAAACATGATATGACATTTAAAACCCCTCAAGATGTTACACCAGAATTTTCTTCTTCTGATGTCATAAAACCAGAATTATCATGTGATGTTTGTCATAAAAACTTTGCGGAAAAGAAAGTTTTATCAGAGCACAAAAATGTTCATTCAGGAGATAAGCCATATAAATGTAATGTTAGTCTTAAAAGATTTCCATATAGTTTTGGTTTAAGAAAACATAAAAAGGTTCATTCAGGAGAAAAGGCACATGAATGTGATGTTTGTCATAAACGGTTTTCTCTAAGTTCTTATTTAAGAACACATAAAAATGTTCATTCTGGAGATAAACCACATGAATGTGATGTTTGTCATAAAAGGTTTTCTCAAAGGTCTAATTTAAGAGCACATAAAGATATTCATTCAGGAGAAAAGCCACATGAATGTGATGTTTGTCATAAACACTTTACGGAAAAGAATAGTCTATTAGAACATAAAAATATTCATTCAGGAGAAAAGCCACATGAATGTGATGTTTGTCATAAACACTTTAGGGAAAAGAATAGTCTAATACGCCATAAAAAAGTTCATTCAGGAGATAAACCACATGAATGTGATGTTTGTCATAAAAGGTTTTCTCAAAGTTGTCATTTAAAAAACCATATTATGGTTCATTCAGGAGAAAAGCCACATGAATGTGATGTTTGTCATAAAAACTTTGCGGAAAAGAATAGTCTATTAGAACATAAAAATGTTCATTCAGGAAATAAACCACATGAATGTGTTGTTTGTCATAAAAGATTTCCATATAGATCGAGTTTAAAAAAACATAAAAATGTTCATTCAGGAGATAAACCACATGAATGTGATGTTTGTCATAAAAGATTTCCATATAGTTCTGGTTTAAGCAAACATAAAAAAGTTCATTCAGGAGATAAACCACATGAATGTGATGTTTGTCATAAAAGGTTTTCTCAAAGTTGTAATTTAAAAAGACATATTATGGTTCATTCAGGAGAAAAGCCACATGAATGTGATGTTTGTCATAAAAACTTTGCGGAAAAGAGTAGTCTATTAGAACATAAAAAGATTCATTCAGGAAATAAACCACATGAATGTGTTGTTTGTCATAAAAGATTTCCATATAGTTCGAGTTTAAAAAAACATATTATGGTTCATTCAGGAGAAAAGCCACATGAATGTGATGTTTGTCATAAAAACTTTGCGGAAAAGAATAGTCTATTAGAACATAAAAATGTTCATTCAGGAAATAAACCACATGAATGTGTTGTTTGTCATAAAAGATTTCCATATAGATCGAGTTTAAAAAAACATAAAAATGTTCATTCAGGAGATAAACCACATGAATGTGATGTTTGTCATAAAAGATTTCCATATAGTTCTGGTTTAAGAAAACATAAAAAAGTTCATTCAGGAGATAAACCACATGAATGTGATGTTTGTCATAAAAGGTATTCTCAAAGGTCTCATTTAAGAACACATAAAAAGGTTCATTCAGGAGTAAGGCCACATGAATGTGATGTTTGTCATAAAAAATTTTTGGACAAGAAAGGTCTATTACGACATAAAAAAGTTCATTCAGGAGATAAACCACATGAATGAGATGTTTGTCATAAAAGGTATTCTCAAAGTTCTCATTTAAGAACACATAAAAAGGTTCATTCAGGAGTAAGGCCATATGAATGTGATGTTTGTCATAAAAATTTTTACAGAAGACAGGTCTGTTACGACATAAAAATGTTCATTCAGGAGATAAGCCATGTAAATGTAATGTTTGTCTTATAAGATTTCCATATAGTTCTGGTTTAGGAAAACATAAAAAGGTTCATTCAGGAGATAAACCACATGAATGTGATGTTTATCTTTAAAAACTTTACAGAAAGAATGTTCTATTACAACATAGAAAAGTTCATATCGGAGATAAACCGCATGAAATTGATGTTTGTTGTAAAAAGTTTTCTTAAGGTTCTAGAAAAAAATTTTCATATAGTTCTGGCTTAAGAAAACATAAGGCGGCTCATACAGGGAAAAAGAATAATTTATTACAACAAATAAGTGTTATACAGGTTATAAGCCATATGCATGTGTTTTTGGCCATAAAAGATTTTCTCAAAGTTCTTATTTAAGTGCTAATGAAAAAGTTCATTTAGCAGACAAGCTACATGAATGTCATATTTGAAATACTCTAAAAAATATTCATTTTATAGGTAAGCCAGAGAAATGTGATGTTAGTAAGGAAATGTTTTCTAAGTTTACTTTATATAGTCATAAAGAAATTCATCATGACTTTAACCCAATTTAATGTCATTTTTTAACATAAACAATTAATTCTATAGCAAATCATCTATATATATAATTCTCCTCTTCGAGCCGTTAGAAAACAAGCTGCAAACGCTCTCCCTACCTCCCCACCCCTACATGGTTTTAGTGAGCTGTGTTCACTCTAAATGTTTACAAGCAGAGCCAACGATTTTAAACGTAGGGGGGGGGGGGGAGGAAGGGGGGGGTTATGGTCCTTAACGAGCTACTTATAGTGTTTTAAAGAAATATTTTCAGTGTCAGCGTTGGTACTGTCGAATTCACAAATTATGAATTATTGAAAATTAGAAACAACTAAATAGCGGCTTATGTTATGCCGCGGGCCGGCTCGTTAGTTTTAAATTTCTTGTCATAATTTTTTCTCTTCACATAACTTTAACCAAGTGGTCATCCAATAGTGGGCCATAGTTTATAAATTTTTATGTTTGTATTTTGAAAAGGCTCTTTTGTCAAAGAGTATACCTGTAAAAAGAAATTGTATTCTATTATGTCAGCTGCATGTGTACAATTTTTTCTTTATGTGGCTTGCTTATTTTTGTGTTATTTGTAAATATGTGTGATAGTAGAAATAAGCTACTATAACTTTTAGAAAACCAGGGTTTTATTTTGGGAGTGAATATTAGTACTCTAATACCAATAGCCCTCAGAAGGCTATTCGTACATTGCTATTTTTAGCAGACCAATCAAATTTATTTTTAAATTTATTGACTTTTTAACCTTTATTGGAACTGTTCGGGTGGTTATGCATCGGCCGTTTTTGAGGCGTGGGTTCTATTACTTTTGGCTCAGAGATTTTTTGTTTGCTTTTTTTTTCCTTAAAGTTTAGGGATTAGGGTTAGGCATTAGGGATCGGGATTAGGATAGGGTTAGAGTTCGGTTTGGGGTTAGTAATAGGGTTAGATCGAAATTAGTTCTACATAGCATGTATGAGGGAATTTAAGTGTCACAGAAACATGCCTTACGATGATTGGTCAGAGTACGAACAGCCTTCATAGGGCTATTTGTTGTGAAGTACGAATAGCCTTGGGACAAGGAAGTTTGGAATCCTGATCAACATCTGGCATCTGGCCTACAGGTTCAGTGACATCAAAACTTCAGTGCTGACAATATTTTTTTTTAACTTTTTCATCATTTGCTGAATGACCTTAATCATTATGTTGAGAAATCTTAAATCATATGATCAAACTCTACAGGCTGCAATGTATAACAAACTGACTACATGTAAAAAAAATTCCTCTCCCTTTACCCCCCCCCCCCCCCCCCCCTATTTACATGTCTTAAGGAACTAACCTCAAGTCTAAAGTTGGTCCAACCATTGCTAAGGCTTATGGTCATTTCCTTTTGCTAGATGAATGTTTTTTAGTTTATTAAATTAAATGCATTTGTAACATGTTATATATATATATTAATTTTATCTTTCTGCACTCCTTCTGAATATGAACTTTATGCCACACATCTCAGACACCTCTCTGCATGCATTGTGTTTAAAAATTGTTTTTTCACATATCCATATAGGCCAGGGGTCTCCAAACTTTTCAGTCCGAGGGCCACATTAACCATTAAATTTCAACTTGGGGGCCAGTTTCTTCCAGGTATGTCTTTGATTTTTCTGGGCAAAGTTCCTCAGCCATCACCAACTAACGTTTTCTCCGTGGACAAAAAGATCTCCGCGGGCCGGATGAGAGGACATCGCGGGCCGTAGTTTGGAGACCCCTGATATGGGCTATAGAATTTTAAGATTAACCACACATTTCAATATCATAAATTAACATTTAATTTTTACAAAAACAGCATAAAAATTATAAATTTGAAGAAAAGAAAGACTAAAGCTGCAATTGCTACATTTTTGTATCTTAGTTTCAAAATAATTTGATTTTTTTATTGTTATTTAATTTTATATTCCTTACTTTTTAACTATTAAAACAAACCATGTAATGTTAATTCTAATGTAAGGAATCATTAGAAACTGTAATGTAAAAATTTTAAGAAATAAAATGGCTAAAGTGTATGTATGTTTTTATTATTAAAGTTTTTCTAACAAGGGGTCATCCATAAATGACATCAAGCTTTTTTGACAATTTTTACCCCCCCTTCCCCTCCGTCACATGTCGTCATGAAAAGCCAGACCCCACCCCTCAAATGATGTCACACCTCAGCCTACAACCCCCTCAAAATTGCAGTTGAATTTTTCTTAATATATTGATATTTTTCCAAAATCTTGTCTGAACTCTGTCAGCATAGAGTATTTTAATCAATTCCTATTACAATATATTAAAACAGTTTTCTAAAACGCAAAATAATGGCTAAAACTCATTTTCTAACATTGCTTTTATGTAATGCAAATGTGTGACGTCACACCATCTAACCCTGCCCCCTCCCCCTCATCACACAGTCACAAAATTACGGACCCCCCTCTGAGTGACGTCATTTATGGACGACCCCCTAACACTTTCTGTATGTTAACAATAACAAAAATTCCAACGAGGCGAATGTGTTTTGAATGCTGGGGTGTATTTTACTCTCTTGTAATGCTCCAAAGCCTGTACCTACCAGGTAGGTGAAGGTCAGTGTTAGACAACTTTAAGCTTGTAAAATTTCAAAAGCTTATTTTGCTACTTTTTTTACCAAAATAATTAAACTAAAATTTAAAAAAATGATTGACTTTGGGATGTCCTGCAGTCTTGAGTCATTTTCTCAAAAATGTGATGGTTTTGTTATAAATTTCTATTGCCAGACTACACAAAAAGTGCACAAGCCAAACTATTTCTATTATATGTTTATACGGGTATGCACTACATGTGTATGGGTTATTTTTTTTAGAAGTATAGTGTGACCAATAGAATCAAAGGCTTTTTGAAACCTAAGAACAAAGTGCCACAATGTAGTTTTGAGTATTTCTGAGCATGTTTTCATTATTTTTATTAAAACTGAATTATAAGAATGAAACTTTCTAAACCTATATTGATTAATATGAAAAAGATAATGTTTTTATAGGCAGTTTGAGATATATTTGTTAATATGCATTTCTAATGGTTCAGAAATTGCCATGTAGCAATATGGATCCTGGATGTTACTGTTTGTATAAATGTATAACATAAGTGTGCTTAAAACAGTGGCGTATCCAGGGTGGGGAAGCATTTTTAGGACACTGGCGTCTTTTTCGGGAAATAGAAAATTAATTATATCAAGCACCTTTTACAGAATATCAAAAACAATGTGGGCATTCTCATTCTTAAGTATGATCATATAATGCCTGAAATTAATACATTCTAAAGGATGCCCCTTACAATTTAAGAAAAAAAAGTATGGCCTTTATTACACTACAAATGGCCATTTATCTCACCAAAGATTCCCTAAAATTTATAATAATTATATGGGCATAATTACCCTTTGGATGCCCTTAAAATGTATCATAATGAAGATGTACATAAAGGCTTTAGAGATCCCCCCAATGTTAACAATGATGATGGGTGTAATTACTGTTTCATGCCCTTTGAATGTATTACATGAATATAAGCATATATATTTTCAAGATGCCCTTATTACAATATATAAAATGAAGATGGATGCCTTTAAAATTTATTATAAAGGTAAGTGGGCATATTACTAGATGCTCCTAAAATATAATGAATATACGAAAAATATTTAAAGATGCCCCTCCAGTTACAGTGTATAAATATGGATATAACGAGAAAAATGGCCCGTTGAGGAAGGGTACAACGGGCGCTAGGCTGATAGTGCTGTCTCTTTTCTCTAAACTAAAACCAATCCACCCCCCCCACACACACCACCCCCTCCACACACCGCCCCCCCACCCCTCCACCCCCCCTCCACCCCCCCCCCCCCCCAAAAAAAACATGTCTACCGTCCCATTCAACGAAATATAATTATATACTTTTTCCAGTGTCCGCCCCCTCCCAGAAAATTCTACCCACGCCCCCGAAAATTTCAAGTACCCCCACCCCTCTCCGGGGAGGAAAAAGTCTGAAAGAAACACTGAAACCAACTCACCCCCCACACACCACCCCCACCCCCCCCCCACACCCCCCCACACACACCACCCCCCCCCACCCCTCCACCCCCCCACACACACACCACCCCCCCACCCCTCCACCCCCCCCCCCCAAAAAAAACATGTCTACCGTCCCATTCAACGAAATATAATTATATACTTTTTCCAGTGTCCGCCCCCTCCCAGAAAATTCTACCCCCGCCCCCGAAAATTTCAAGTACCCCCACCCCTCTCCGGGGAGGAAAAAGTCTGAAAGAAACACTGAAACCAACCCACCCCCCCACACACCACCCCCCACCCCCACACACCACCCCCCCACCCCCCCCCCCCCACCACCCCTCCACCCCCCCACCCCCCCCCCCCACCACCCCTCCACCCCCCCACCACCCCTCCACCCCCCCCCCCCCAAAAAAAAACATGTCTACCGTCCCATTGCAAGAAAACCACTTTTTAGATTAGACACATTAATTAGGCGGTAATTTTATTATAGAGTATCGATGAGGAAATTTCTTTTGAGTTGGGGAGGGGGGGGGGCTCAGACGTTCTTACGCGGGGGTGGGGCTTCGCCCATACCCGAAGAATTGTATGAAAGAAACTCTTCACGCAAACCACTTAGATTAGACCAAATTGCCTTTGTATTGAATGTTTACTCGAAAATCAATGACGTCATACAATTGCGTACACTCTCCGGCTTGCTCTAAGCTAAATGTGACCGCGTCATACTTCGTCTTTCGTTTCACTGTGAGAGTTTTTATTTTCCTTGTGTTTTCTCTAGAGCGTTCTTGTCAGACAGATAGATAGACAGATAGATAGATAGATAGATAGACAGACAGCGAAACTATTATTATAGATTACTCCACGGATGCCCTAGAAAGTGAGTATAACGAATACGTGCATATAACTTTAAAGATGCCCCTACAGTGCATCGGAATAGTTTGTTCACAAGTACTCTAAAAGATGCCCCAACACTATACAAAATAAATATCACACACATTTATAAAGGGAATATCAATGACTACCATAGGACTACCCTTCACTGATGCCCGCTTTTTCTATATAAGTTTAGCCATACGGACAGTGTAATGTCAAAACAAGTGATAGACGATTGCCTATTGAGTGTTACCTTATGTTTTGGGTGAGATCGGCAAACATATGAGAAGTTACGATGACCATCACACAACATATCGCAACCCTTTAAAAACAAAAAAAAATTCCACCTCCGTTGGATGCCCGGGGCTAGGCCCCGATTTTTGCTTATAACAATATATTATAACAATATACACAGAAAGTGATATTTCATCGCCAAGGGTAGACAAAGGTACAGAAAATAGTTCAAGTAAAGACAGAGCATTCATGACAGACCACGTGGAATATAGTTGAAATGAATGACTAATATACCTTTTCAGACTTAATAGTGTGCATCTAAGACCACAACATTTGTTGGGAGGTCGAACCTTTAAACAATCAAACCAATAATAGACCGCCAATAAATGACGTCGCTCTTACGGGGTTAAGATAGTTATGACAGCGTGCACTATTAAATTAATTCAGATAGAAATTGTGATTTTTTTTGTGAAACTAAACTGGTGATGGTTGTGGGAGAAAGACCAGCTGTAGAAGTATGACGCGTCATTCATTGGTGATCCTTTATGTCAGTGGGGACGATAAAACTATTAAGAAGAGTCGAGAAATGTAAACAGTCGTATTTCTTGAACCCAACCGTTTCATCCCACACTTAGCACATCGCCATCAAGTTAACGCTCGCGCGTGACGTCATGTACCAGTACCGCCGACCGTTTGGCTAATTTTACGGGGGGGGGGGGGGGGAGGGAAAAAGCACTACCGTTTTGACACGTAAGCGACGTTTAATTTGATTACTTATGTTGGTGTTCAATTAAACAGCCCCTCACTCATCCATCACCATCCATTGAAACGTACGTGGTTATTTCTGCAAGCTTGCTGTCTTGAGACTTTCGGCCCTTTAAAAATGTATTAAGCTCCCACCGTATAGAACTAGACTACCCATTAAGCTTCAAAAGAAGCTTGGTGACAAGAGGATGGCCGTTCGATTTTAAAGCTGCTCTGCGCTTTATAAAAAGCACAATAAACGATAAAATGACACTTATTTTAAGTAAATTATAAATCTGAATCTTGATACAATAAAAGTGACATTTGAAAATCAAGAGCTGTGTATTAGGCCAGACAGTCAACATGATATTTCAATTGAAGTCCCAAAAAAAATCCTCAAAAGATGTAACATTACTAAATTTTCGCACAATTGAATTAAAGTATTTACGGCATCTTACAAAGCGGGATAACCTACTGGTGCTCTAACGCGACCCGTTGACTTCGTCGGACCCGGGCCCCATGCCGATGGCCGTATTCCTAACGCCCCGCATTAGACGCGGCATATTCGTCGGTAGGCATTTGGTGGCAAATCTTTTTGACGGGGATAATGTTTTGAGGCCGTTTTGCCAATCGTCTCAAACTAGCAGGCTTGCAACATTTAAGATGATTCGTTTTGAGCAAGGTATACGTATACTAATGCTTATTTATGGTTATTTTTATTGAGCATAGCATTATAGAGGTTCTCCGCCAATGACCTAGATATTTTTCCCCGTTCACCTCCTTTCATAAGACCTGCACGTCATAATTTGCGGGGCCGCCTGAGATGACGTCACAAATCTTCACTCACTCCCGTAGCAAATCATATGTGACATCATTTATGGACAACCCCATATCACTCATTTGGGTAGGCCTACTTGATATTGACATTTTGACAACAAAGGATAACCAAATGTGCCCGAAAAGTAGAGAATTGGGATAATGACAACAAGCACTTAAGGGGTGGAGTGGCTATTATTTTTAGATGCTGTTTTACAAAGGAAGCTGTTGGATAATACATTTTGTCTCTCTGTATATAAATATATCTAGTAATGATCAAATAAACATTAGTACAAAAAACGTTATTTTATACATGGATACAAGCTGCATATCACAATACTTCTAGAATTGATGATGTTGTTTGTTAGTAAATTCAGTTTTTAAAGGGCAGAATTTAAAAAAAAAAATGCTTTGTAAGCCTATACTGCCCTATACAATTACGACAAGACAATCATATTTAAATACAGTTTCATAGAAATGAAAGGGAAGCTACTCTAAATAATATTTTTAAGATGGCTGCTGTCTTTGATTTCAAATTTACTATCTCGAACAGGGTCGATAAAAATTAATTTCAGGATAGTTAAACTGATTTAACCATAAATGGTGATCTATTATTCAATTATCTATAATATTTCATTGAAATATACGAAAACATACCCGGATGTATATTAATTATTATTAATTTACTGAAACTCTCCTCCACATTCTATCTAGATTCTAGATCTAGTTGGACTAGGTAGTAACTAGTAAGTAAGTATAAGTAAAGTTTAGTAAAGTAGTTTTATAGTTTTGGCCGAATTTACGACGCTATCTAAATTCTAATTCTAAAGTCTAGTCTAACGTTTTACCCTAATTTCGTTATTCAATATTGTCAACTACATAACTCAATGTCAATGCCCAACTAGATCTAGATTTTTCTAGATTTAATATTTTAACTAGATCTACTAACTTAGATCTATCAGTCTAGAGACTGAGAGAGTATTTTTAAATTATTTTTTTTAGGAGCGTGGACACCGACCGTGGAGTCCATTCCATTCGTCGAGGAGGTGGCAGAGAATAGAATAATAGTGTACTAATTAATTAGTATTAGTCTAATACTAATAGGCCGCAGGCGACTTTGTATAAAATATTTATTTTTTTAATGTGGTGCACTGTTATTTTAAAAATATGGTTATAAAAACCAGACTTTTTGAATTTTTAAAAATTTTACTGACTTTACTTAAGAATATAAAATTGTAATTGTATTGAATGAAGATAATTGTAGGTAGATCTAGGTCAATTTGTCATTAGATGTTTTAGTTTTTTCGGTAGGAAAAATAAATCCTTTATAAAAACTTAGGTTGCCATGCGATCTCTTACAAAGTTTTTTATTAAAGAAGGTATACCTAATTAGTTTTATTTTCTTATTTTCGGTGCATTATATTATTACATTTGTTTTTTATTATTTTTATAGTCCATTCCCAAGACTCAGTCTTTTATACACATTTTGCTTAACGTTTGTTGAAAAAGTGTTGATACCAAATACCCAAATATGTGATAAAGGGTTGTACATAAATGATGTAATTTTACGATTGGAGCTTAAAACCTTTTCACATAGATAACAAGCTCTGCAATCAAGCATTAAACTTAAGCATTAAAGAAAACTAATGATAATAAATATTTAATATAAGGTATATTGAAGGAGGAAAGTTTTTTATATTTAATATGCTTTGAATAAATTTGGATTAAAATGACATCAATATTAAATTATTTTTTAAAAAGTACATTAGCGTTAAAAATTATTTTTGCATTTATTTTCCAGCATTACTGAGACGGCAAACAAAAAACAGTCAAGCAAAGATGTAAAAGAACTTATCTCCACATACAACAATATTGAGGTAACATAAATTTAAAAAATAAAATAAAAGTGTGGTATAACTAAAAATTCAAACTGAAAGCTAATGTTTAACTTAAATCTGTAAAGGGGTTGTATCAGAGTCAAAGAAATTAAGTATACCTCTGTTTTCAAATCAGCTAAAGTAAAAACAAATCTCTCTAATCAATTAACATCTTCATCACCAGTGGTCAAACATATGACACGCTTTTTTTTTTTTGGTTTGAGTTTTTTCTAGAAATAGGTTTACATTTATCATCTTTTTAATTTTATACTTGTTCATTTACAATTCTTTAAAAGAATTCTTAAAACCATATAATATATAATCAATTGACTTACATTTTTTTTCTGTTTGCTCAGGGTAAATAACAACAGACATATTTCAATAAAATGGAGTTTTCCATTGAAGTTAAACCAGATGTCAGAAATATTTCTTCTATCCCTTTACAGTCTATAAGTGACTCAAAGGATCTAAATAAGTCAGAAATGGATGCTTATAACGCCATTCCTTTTAACCAAGTACATTCTAAGGACCTATATACTAGTATTGAAACTGTTGCTCACAGAAGGAAACTCAAGAATGGCCAAACTTTCTCTTGCGACTTGTGCAACAAACGATATATTTCAACGAAATGTTTTGAAACACATCTGATGCAGCACTTATCTGAAACTCCACTAATTAGCTTAGCTCGGATAGAATCCATTTTAGATTGCAAAAGCAAAAGGAAGGATGAACGTGGGAAAAGAAAAATTGGATGTAAAAAAATTAAGGCTATTAAAATAAAGCCCCCTTGCATTTGTGATGTTTGTGGTAAATCATTTAAATTTAAATCTTGTTTGCGAATTCATTATACCAAACATACAAAACTGAAGAAGTATCATTGTTATGATTGTGGCAAAGCATTTGTTAGTAAGGGTTATTTAAAGAAACATCATGTTTTGCACTCAATTTACAGTAACTCTTTGAAAAGTGGTCTTCCTGTTGTTTGCAACTTGTGTAACAAACATTTTTTAAAAATGGATAATATAAAACATCATATGTATTATCATTTAAGAGGGAAGCTTCATTCTAAAATTTCTCAAGAAAAGTCTTTACAGAAAAGTAGAAGGAAAAAGCCCTGCATTTGTGATATTTGTGGAAAAGTATGTTCTTGCAAAAGCCTTTTAAAACAGCATTATGTTGTACACACAAAAATGAAGCTTTATCTTTGTGATGTATGTGGTAGATCTTATGCTTCAAAAGAATATTTGAATCGACATTATAAACAGCATACAAGCAAGAAAGAACACGCCTGTGAGGATTGTGGATTATCTTTTCACAGCAAAATTATTTTAAATAAACATCGCCTGTCGCATGTTAAAGTGAAAGCTCACAAATGTAATGAGTGTGGTAAATCATTTACTGTTAAAAATTATTTACAACGTCATTATCACCGTGTCCATTCAAAAGATGGTCTTTTTCCATGTGAACATTGCAACAAATCATTCTCTTTGAAAAGTTTCTTAACTCGGCATTTACCTGTGCATACAAAAGCAAAACCTTTTTTTTGTACTATTTGTGGGATATTATTTAAACGTAAATCCAGCTTGGGTGACCATTTACTTCGTCATAAGAGAAGAAATCAAATGCCTATTGATTGATGTTTTAAGTAATTTTTTTCAAGCTGTCACACCATCTGCTAAAGCTTTTTTAAAGATATTTTTGAGTTGTTGTATTCTTCTTATTCTTGTGGTAAATTAATTATTTAAACAGTTAGTGACATAGCCTTGTGTAAAAAAAATTGTTAAGAAGAAGTCACCATCTTGCTTGTTTACTTTCAAATTGTGTGACAAAGTTTGCTGACCAGAACATAGTATAATTTTTTCCCAGTAGATAAACTGGTCTTCTCACTCTGCATGTTTTTATAGCAAATCATTTTTCATTTGAATTTGGGCTTTGCAGCTAATAATTTTCTTTCAACAGCTATTTTTTTAAATGCAAATTAGATAAATTTATAAAATATTGTTGTTTACACTAGTTAACTACAGTGTAAAAGAATTAGGTTAAAAAAAAAAACAATAAAATTGTGATCATAACGAGGAAGATTAAGCTGGTTGGTTTTGTTGAAGCGAGAGACAGTAAGGTTGGTGATTGGTGAGAGTGTACATGATTGTGTTAATTAATTTGCTGTTGTGGTCATAATAATACTTTGAACTTGTTATGTTATTGTCACACTAATCAATAGAACATTTTTTTGTATGGAAAAGAATTTTTTGAACAGTTGTTTAAAAAAAATTGTTATTGCTCCAATAGAGAATGTAGGTTTTTCCTGCTGACGTGATTGTGTCTGCAAAGATGGTTAGGGTTGGGTTAGAGAATGATAGTAGTTAATAGAAACGTTAGTATTCCCTTGAGGGCTAAAACAAATGTACTGAAATGATGTGTTACACTTTTTAAATTGTCTTTCTTGCATGTTTCATGCCCTGGTTTTTTTAAATGACAACACTGGTTTATTTTTCTATGAATGTGACTTTCTAATCCACTTTTTAATATTGTTAGTTCAAACGACTTTTTATCCTACTTTTAGGTGAAGTTAAATGCTTAGATATTAATTAAATGCAAAAATTATTATATTGTTTAGATATGTTAAATCCATAAATGACGTCATGCTTTTTTGAAAATTTTTACCTCCTCTCCCCTCTGACATCGTCACAAAAAGCCAACCCCCCCCCCCCCCCAAAATGACAATGACATCACACCTCAGCCTATACAGCCTATAACCCCCCCCCTCCCCTTTAAAATTGCACTTGAATTTTTCTTAAAATACTATATTTTTTCAAAATCTTGTCTGAACTCTGTCAACATAGAATATTTTTATCAATTCCTATTACAATTTATTAAAACAGTTTTCTATAATGCATAAGTGTGACATCACACCATATGAACCCCTCCCCCCCTACGAGTGTGGTATCATTCATGGACTTTTTTTATGAAGTAATTTCAAAAGAAGTTAATATCTAACATCAAAGTTTTTTAAATTTAACATGAAAATTTATCTCCTATTGCAGGGGGATTTTCATTACAATTCACCTAATCAGTTTTTTAGCTTTTAAGTTTTTAACACAACTGTAAAAATATAAAGTACTATAGGCCTACTCTCATAGATACAAGTTTGTAAAGGTTAGTTAGAAACAAAGGTTAATAAAAAAAAAATTCATAGGAATGGTGTATATTTTTCGTTAGAAGAATATTTTAGCAGTACAACTCAATTACGTTAATTTAAGTTGATAATTTTGATATTAAAAGATTTTAATCAAATATGTATGTGAAATGTACTCACATTTACATGGTCTATATATATATATTAAATGAATAGGCCTACATGTTTTGTTTTTTTCTGTCTTTATCTGAAGCAATCTTTCTTTAGTGTCAAATATATTTAAAAGTTGGGTCGGCGTGGTCTAGTTGGTAAAGCTCATGGTTGCTAAACCGAAAAGTCTCAAATTCGAACCCTCGGGCAGATGAGGCTCGTTAGCTGGGGACAGCCACTCTTCTAGGAGAGACAACTCCAAAATCAAACAACTGCTGCCTTGTAGTTTGTTCTTGGTTGGACAAAGGCTATGGAAGCAAATCCAAAAAGAAAAGCAGGCTGAAATCGGAGTCAATGGCCTCAATGGCGCATAACCAGTTGACACGTAATCCTAAATTGTGATGGAAGCATGGTCGAGTCGGCAAAGCTCATGGTGATAAATTAAAAAAAAAAGTATCGAGTTCAAACCCTCTGGCAGATAAGGCTCGATCCCTCTCAACACTAAAAATTAAGAACGAAGAAGAAGAAAAGAAATTTAAAAGTTTACAAAAATGCAGGCCTTCTTCTATTATTTGCCCACATGGATGTCAAAACATTATCAACCGCCAAGGCTAATAAGGGCCCACAGTTTTTTAAAAGCTTTGTATAACTTTGCTGTTTACAATATGTTTAACTCTACCAGCAGAGTTATCTTCCACCGCCCCCTCCCTCCCCTATTCATTGTGGGTATAGTAATTCCGCCCCTGTTCTGTTACTTATGGGTAAGTTAGAGACTAAATTTAATGTCTAGCTTACATTTAGTTGTCCAGCTTACTCAGAGGCCGAGAAAACAAAAAACAAGTGACCTACAACATACTAATGAATGCAAAACATGCATTTTGCCATTACCGTAAGTTAAAAACTTGACTTGAGCCCCCCTTCAGTGTGTCTTAGGGTTGCCAAGTGTCCAGTTTTGAACTGGACAGTCCAGTATTTGAGCAGACTGTCCAGGATAAAATAAATATAAATACTGGACAAGTATATGAATAATACTCTGCTACCCCCCTTCTTCTGCTTTGCGGCATACCTGAGAAGGGAAGGATGGAAAGGTGTCCAGTATTTTCGGAAAAGGTATCTGGCAACCCTAGTGTGTCTTCATATCAATAGTATTATTAGCATTGTATAATAAATAGTAAAAAAATTATTTCAAATATTTTATTTGTTGATGATATACATGTTTGTAGGTTTTAGTAATAACTCGTTAAAAAAATCACTTATAATAAAAGAGAGTTAGAATCTTATGTTTGAAAATTAATTATTTCAAATTTTGTATTGGTTACCATACTCAACATTAAATTGATGTTAATGCAACATTGTGAAGTTTAACTGTTTCAACAGATTCAGTGTTTCTTCCAAAAAAAAAAAATCTCTTATGGGGGGGGGGGGGGGGGGCACTTGATATTGTGGGGGGTGGACAATATTTTCCAGCACTGGCAAACACAACTTCTGAATGGTGCACCTTAAAGATTATGTTTTTAGCATTAATAAATGTTTAAACAAATGTGAGCCATGCCTCAAAGATGTCACAAATCTGGAAGAAATTCTGATTATACATTGTATGGGTCTAATAACATTTTAAATAGTATGCTAATTATTACATTTCCTGAGGGCACCCACATTGCTCTACAGCTCCTCCACAGTACAGGACTGTTCTATACCACAGTTGGTGGGTTAATAAATTTATGTCTTAGAATAGATACATTAAAATGTGGTTAGATTTTATATATTTTATATATAATAGTCAAATAACACTTTGAAAAAGTGATGTGGTTGGCCAAAAACGAGTCACGAGTAGTAGGCCTAATGACTGTACTCAGCAAAAGACAGTAAGTAATGAAATGACTAATGACAGTAATGTCACATTACTAATGTGCGAGAAAGGTAGCTCATAATAGTCATTAGTATTTAATATGATTTTTGTGTCAAATATAAATTATAATAGATAATTGAATAATAAACCAAAAGCAATGTCTAAACTAAATATATCAATAAAGGCAAGAAATTAACTTTAAACACTAATAAACAGCCTTGTTTGCGAGCAAGATTTGCTAGTAGATCTACTATATATTTTATATAATATATAAACAGCGGACATGTGTAAATTAGAGTAGTTTCCCCTGAATCTCTTGCTAAAATGTTACCAAAAAACGTAAACAAGATGGCTGCTAAAATAATGTAAATGTTCTAGATTCTAGGTCTAGATTAGATCTTGTTGCATCTGATGAAAACATCGCTAATTTTTAATTATTAGGCTACTGAAAAGTTTTAATACAATTGTTTAAAAACAGGTAGAGTCTAGAATCTAGATCTAGATCTAGATTCTAGTATCTACATGAATGAAAGTTTGAAACATTTTGATAATATTATTATTAATATTTATATTAATTATTAATATTAATATTAATAATTATTTAATATAGACTCTAGATTCTAATAATAATAATAGACTCTCTCTCTGTCAGTAGACTAGTGAGTAGATATAAAGTATTTATTTTAGTTTTTATTTTTTTTATTAGGTATTAAATATTATTATTATTAGTTATTCTGACATTGCCTTATCAATGATTAGATATAAACTTGTAGAGAGGAGAATATTCAATTTCAGACATAAATATTTATTATTTACTATTATTTCAATTAACAAATGTATGTCTACATTCAGATCAGACCAACAATTTTCTTAAAACTACTGAGCTCTTGAATCCAAAAATGGATGATGAAATTGAAATAAAACCAGATGTCTCAAATATTCAACCTTCTTTACCAGAAGCAGTTGCAAGTTCATTTGAAAATCAAATCAAGTCAGAGATTGATATTGATTCAATAGATCACAAATGTTTTATGGATCTTCAGCATTATGATACTACATTAGCACCACCAAGTTATTTAAATGAGGATAAAGCTTTCCAAACAACAGATGAGGACACTAATAATAGTAGTTTCCATCCATATTTTACCATCAAGAATGATAGTTCAAAAAATAATGAATGTGAGAAAAAAACAGGAGGCACCTGTGATTTGTGTAACAAAATATTTGTTAACATTTATAATGTAAAAAGACATTTGCGTCTTCATTTAGGGGAGAAGCGATTTTCTTGCAGTGTGTGCAGTAAATCATTTTTCAAAAACAGTGACCTGAAAAGGCATCTTATTAATGTGCATGCAAAGATAAAGCAGTATGCTTGCAAAATTTGTAGAAAGACATTTTCTCAACGGTCTAATTTAGCAAAGCATAATTTAATACATATAAAACAAAAGCCATTCGCATGCTCAATATGTAATAAATCTTTTATATCTTATGAGGCATTACAAAAGCATAAAGTTGTACATACAGTAAACAATCTACATACATGTATGATTTGTGGTAAAAGATTTTCAAAAAAGAGTGAGTTAAACAGACATAATATTATGCATACAAAGGAAAAATCATTTGCTTGTTATACTTGTAATAAACTATTTTCTTATAAATCTAGCTTATTAAGGCATCAAACAGTCCATATTAAAATGAAACACTTTACTAGTCAGTCATGTTCTGATAATGATGCATTACAAGACCATTATCATGTGCATATGGATAAGAAGCTTCATACTTGTACAATATGTAGCAAAACATTTACAAATAAAAGTGACTTAAATAAACATAATACTGTGCATACAAAGGAAAAATCATTTGCTTGCTATATTTGTGGTAATTTATTTTCTTATAGATTTACCTTATTAAGGCATGAACGAATTCACAAAACCAAGAAGCCATTTACTTGTACAAATTGTAGTAAATCATTTTATGATAAAGAGACATTTCAAAAGCATTGCCTTCAGCATTCAAGAAAGAAAGTTCATACTTGTGAAATTTGCAGTAAAATTTTTTCTAAAAAATGCGACTTAATTAGACATCACCGTGTGCATACAAGGGAAAAACCATTTCTTTGTAATATTTGTAATGAATCCTTTTCTTATAAATATACTTTTTTAAAGCATCAATCACTCCACACAAAACTTAAGTTATTTGATTGTTCAAAAGTGCTTAGCTATATACCTGCTGAAAAGAAATTTCCTTGTGGTGTTTGTTTAAAATTATTTTCTAGAAAACATGATGTTAAAAGACATAACCGTGTGCATACAAAAGAGAAGCCTTGTAGGTCAAAGTAAAATAATTCTTTCTACACTTTAACACAAGAAACAGCAGAAGTAACACCAATTGGGGATGGTTTGCTAGACTGCCAAGTCAAAAGTCTCCAGTTCAAATCTTGGTCTGGCCTCGCGACTGTAAGACATCCCTAAGCCTGCATAGCTCTGATGGTACTTGACTGACAATAGGAAAAGTAAAGGCTTCTGGGCATAGTGCTGTCCACATCATCCTTTCATATGCCACGGTCAAGAAACATGTGAACTCTACTTCATCTGCCCTATGGATCATTAGGTTTGGAAGTTGAATTTAATTTTTTTTTTTTTTTACTTGGTAACACCAGTTGAGCAAAACTGTTTATTCTTACTTAAGTTGTTTTATTTATGATTTTTTTATATAACATTTTTTTTTTAAATGGTTGGTAAAAAAAGTTGAGATCACTTGCTTAAACTGAAACAATATTTGTTTTTACTTGATATGTTAACTTGTTTGTAATCTTAGAAAACTTTTACACTTTGAGATTAGCAACAATAGGGTTTTTGTAGCAAAGGTTATTGTGCTATTCATGATCTTCTTGTGTAAGATGCTTGTGTATCAGCAATGTTTTAAAAAACCAGAGGACTCACTTATAAATGATAAAATATTCACAAGACCTAATTTATTTCAAAGTACATTTGAACAATAGGTCTAAACATGCTTGATTGATAGTTGAGTTTTAATTTGCTGGAAAAAATTGTATTAATCTGTATCCACTTTTCAATAAGTCTTAAACCAGTTTGATTTTTTTATAGTTTTTTTTTCCTGAATAAGTAAGTGATAGAAATTTTAATACTGTATGATAAGCTGAAAATCAACATGTGACTTATGATTTCCTTATGGACAAGTTTTTCCACCTAAGGAAAAAAATATCATTAGAGTTAATTAATAAGACTGCAGGGATTAGAAAACTTACAAAATTGCAGTAGAATGGCAATGTTCATAAATTAACATTGAAATGTTAGTCTCATTTCAGTGGTCATTTTATTTAAGAGTCTACTAACATGATCAAGTGACAATATCTTCCTTAATTTAATAAAATCCTTCTATGTATTTTGTCATAGATTTGTAAAATTACTTTCACATTTTTTTTCCAGCATTATCAATAAAAAATAATTGATATTTTACACACCTGGCTATGTCTTAATATATTTTTGTTGTTCGTGTATTAATATTTACTTTATAAAGGCTTACATTATAAAATAATATGAGTGCTAGGTAAAATACTATATTGCGAGACATTTGAAACAGCATATTGTAATTAATACAAACAAAGCTGGGTTACCATTTAATCATCTAAAAAATTGTTAACATTTATACGTGTTTTATTGTGATTTCTACACTTAGAAATACAGTGATTCCACTACTTTAGCGTTACCAGCTGTGAAGTCTTAGGGGTCATCCATAAATGACGTCACGATTTTTTTACGATTACTACCCCTCCCCTCCGTGACACATCGTCACAAAAAGCCAGACCCCCCCCCCTAAAATGACGTCACACTTCAGCCTTCAACCCCCCCCCCTCAAAATTGCTGTTAAATTTTTTTTTTTAAACATCAATTTTTTTCCAATATCATGTCTGAAATAGAGTATTTTAATCAATTCCTACTACAATTTATTAAAACAGTTTTCTAAAACGCGAAATGATGTCTAGAATTCGTTTTCTAACATTGCTTCTTTATAATGCAAAAGTGTGACGTCGCACCATCTGAAACCCCTCCCCCTCATCACACGCCGTCACAAAATTACGGACCCCCTCCCCCCGACGAGTGTGACGTCATTTATGGACGACCCCTTATTTCTAGCGGCAATTACGTCACATGATGACAGTAAGTTTAAACAAACACTTTTTCTTAACATAATCAACATAATGTTATACCATTCTAACAGAGCACATAACAAATCCCAAAACTTCCTATTTGGTGTCGTCTGTAAATAATTTTTAAAAATATTTAGGAAATGGTATCACGCATTTTTACCTTATTTATATGAACACAAAGACCAACCTTCTAAAATGACTGATAAGTGATAGTTCAGCAAACCCTACCACCCCTAAATGCATACTGACAATGCTGATGATATATTTTTATTATAATTTACAATACAAGATCAAAATCTTCTAAAAGTACAAAATAACAGGAAATTTCCAATGTTAACAGTATTTTTTTTAAATGCAAAGTTCGAACGACTAATATACGCCCCATTTAAGCCAAGCCAAAAAAAAACACGATACAAATTGAAATAATGTAAAGTCAGCTTAATGCATTTCAGCATAAATAATAATTATTGATATCAAAGCCACTATCATAAACGAATTAATAAAAATGAAGTAATTGTTTAATTTTTGGGCAAATGTAGTTGTTAGGGTTACCGCCTTTGTTTTTCTCTCCACTTCTTCGGGGTTGCTTTTTGTGGTTGGAGAGGGCGTATGTTTTGATTGGCAGAGATCACAGATTGGCAAAATCTGATTGGCTGTCCGGTTTAGGTCCGCGTGCTTATCGGTGGCTCGTTCCCAACGGTGTATGACGTAGACGACAGCATTGCCAATAACACCGAGAAAAGAGATGAGCAACAGGACCGAGACATAGACAACTGGGAAGAAAAAGTGACCCTTTTATAAATTATATAAATATTTATATCATCTTCAAAGTGAGATAATAAAGTAGCCCGATTAGACATAGGTATATGAGGACAATGATACGTTTCAAATAGAAATTTAGGCCAAGGAAGACAAGCATTTGATGGAAATGAATTAAAAGCTACTAGATCTACTAATGCTTGGATAACGTTAGCCAAGATTATGGAAATGAAACTTGTCTCACGTTTGAGAGTTGCTTTCCATGTTTACCATTTCAGACGAATAAAACACGTTTAAAAAAGTGACATTTTTTTTTTAAAATCCCCCCCCCCCCCCCCAAAAAAAGAAGTTATTCCTCAAGTATTTGTTGACGAGCACAAAAAAATGCTCCTTAAGTATTTGCTGACGAAAATAGTACTGGTCATGCAAGGTAAAATACCATAATGCAAAACATTTAAAATAGCATAAAGTAATTAATACAACCAAAACTTGTATTTTAATTATGAAAAGAAATTTTTACATTAATTAATACGCGTTTTTTTGTGATTCCTAGATTTAAAATCACAGTGATTTTCTCAATGGTAGTGTTTAGCAATAAAGCCTTACATTAAGCGACAATTACATAATGATATTGACAATAGTTGTATTAAATCACCGCACATGCTGTCCTTACCTAATCAGCTCTAGTGACGTTAATGTTATGCTGATTTCAGCTTAGTTATGAAGCAAAAAATCACTAACCATACGCTGTTTAACTCTTGAAATCTGACTATTTTTATGTTGTTGTTTTTTTTTTAAATAATTATTGTAGAATCTGTATCGCATTGGTTCCTTACTGTCTTTTAGGCTGCATATGGCGTTAAAAGAACAGAAGTGGAGCGGTAGGAATGTTGCTTTACAATAACATTTCTTATTTCATGTGATTTCCGAAAATCAATAAAGGCTGAGCTTTTCTACTTGAAAAAAATATAAAAGAATACAGAGTATAAACAGATTAAGACATGTTTTTCCAAACTTTTGAAACGCGTACACCTGCTCCTTAGCTCCCCAATGTAAAACGCTGTCTAGACAAACCTAAGTAGGAAATCCTGTCCGATGTCTCAGGCAGGTTGCTGTCGATAATGCCAATGAACACTGTAAACGACAGCAGTACCGTGATGGACACGGACAACTTCTCGGGCTCGTCGGGAGACATCAGAAACGAGACGAGACTCAGGAAGGCCAGCAGGGTGATAGGAATCAGCAGACTGTCAGTGGGAAAACAATGCGACAAGATATTGGAACGTGGTTTGAAAGGGTAATCAGGGGCGTCACAAGGTAGGAGGGAGGGTGCGGACTGCACCAGGTAACACCCCCCCCCCCCCCCCGTTGTGACGCCACTGCCATTTTTTTTTTAAATGTGCAGGTTTCAAAATCTACATGCGTGTTAATTTCTTGTATATTTTCGATTGCCTGGAAACAAAAATACAGAGTTTCATACAATCATCTCTTCGTCGTGGTACGCCCCCCCCCCCACCACAAAGACAAAATAGAAAATATATATAATATACACTAACCAGTGCCGACGCCCCCACACCCGCAATTATAAATGCTCCCCCCCCCCCCCATTTGTCCTCACCGCAGAAAAATGACTAAAAGACTAAAAAAACCCACTGCAAGGATGTTTACTAGTTTATTTTAAGAGTGCTTAGAATTGAGCCTAGCTATTACTTTTAGAGTTATATGTTACACTTGACCTAGATCTAGTAACCATCCCATCCCAGCTGTTGGTATTAATTATCCAAAACATACAGGCCTATATAATAAAGTTCTAAAGGTAAACATACGTCAGAATCAAATACACTGGTTGTCTGGTTAACTTGATTCTAAAGAACAATGATATGTAGTGTTTGCCATCATAGACGTAGTCTTTTTCGATCACCGTATCAGGCTGTATGTGGAATTGACCACTCGACAAGAAGGATTTACACTCAACAGCCGGCTCTAGGGGTCTTAGCTGAATGATTGATTATGGAAAAAAAAGTGACAATCATTATTGTTTTGCGTAGATGTCAATGGAGGTATGCGGTATACCAGTGTCTGATAATCCCATAAGAATAGAATCTTCTTTTAAAAAGATGTGAAGCTAACTAAATGTAGCTAACTAAATACAATGGACACCAGTGAGTGGACGAAAATCCTTCCGTAATGTTGTTGACATGGAATACAAATGTGCTTTTTTAGATTTAGGACCGTAAAAATAATAAAAGATAAAATTTTATTAAAAACTTAAGCCTAAAATTAATTCAGAAGTTTAATATTTTTAGAATCAATGCTATACAAGTTGCAGATCCAGAGAACTTGAAAATAATTTGTTGAGTTTAAGGCTACATTTCTATTTATTTTCATCAAGCCTAAGTTATAACCCGATGTTTCACTTTCGTAAGACAAACATTGATTGGCTGTACAGGAACTCCGTGATCGATTTCTGACAGCCCCACTTTATAGTTTTTTTTTGTTTACAAAACTTTGCAGATCAAGTTTTTAAATAACAATGCAAATTTAAACAACATGACCTAGTTTATTTATGGCAGCCTATTGAATAGCAGGATGCTATTGTTTATGTCGCCATTACACGTGAAAACCAAATTGTTTTTGCTTTTTTTAAATTTTTATTTAGTTACCGAAAATATTAAAAACATCAGATACATCCAATCTTTAGTAAAGTCCGAAAAAAACTAGACAGGCAGGATTTTATAACCATATTAATTGTGACTATGCCGTGCAAGATTTTAAAATTAATTTATGGACCTCTCAAATACCTTTGAGACTTATCTCGCTGGTGTCATTTATGACTTTGTGATTTCAATGCTAAGGGACGGTGTGGCCTAGGTGATAGGGCGCTAGGCTGCTAGCCCGAAACCAAGTCTTAACATAGCTCTAAACCTAACACCGAGGTCGGATGTCACCCGGTGCGGCACTTAATGGTGTCACCCCCAGAGGCGTAGCGACCCTTCCCGGCGCCCGGGGACAAACTATCCATTTTCGATTTGCACCCACCCCTCAGACTTTCGATTTGCACCCCCTCTCCGCCCTTGTCGGGATTTGTCAAATTTGCTCTTCAAAGACTTTTTCACACTCGAGTTAATCACTTTATTAAGTGAAATTATAATTTTTCTCTATATATTTTGCTATTTTTTGCCTTGGTGTCACCCCCTTAAATGGTGTCACCCCCCCCCCCCCTCGCTATGCCACTGACCACCCCTCCCAAGATAGATCATTCGCACTTAAGTCTAAACTACAGAACAGAGAGGGGGTTTAGACTCTAAACCCCCTCTCTGTTCTGTCTTTTTTTACCAGCTAGATTCTCAACTCCTCGTCTAGAGAGCGTGACTTTTGCCAGCTACATTCTCAACTCCTCGTCTAGAGAGCGTGACTTTTACCAGCTACATTCTCAACTCCTCGTCTAGAGAGCGTGATTTTAATCGGTTACATTCTCAACTCCTCGTCTAGAGAGCGTGACTTTTGCCAGCAACATTCTCAACTTCTCGACAACTAACTTTTACCAGCTATATTCTCAATTCCTCGACTAGAGAGCATTACTTTTACCAGCTATATTCTCAATTCCTCGACTAGAGAGGGTAACTTACATTTATTGTTTGGTTATCTGTCATCCAGGAGCTGACCAGCATCCCACACGACTGAGTATCAAATGGGTAATTTGATACATCAACCTACAAAAGAGAAAATAAAATAAAATATAAGTCAGAACCTATAGACTGTTTTTTGCCAATTCGACCCACCCCCTTATACGCCATTTGTCTATTCAAATATAGGCCTACCTGATGCTCATAAAAATAGCCAAACTTTTAATTAGAGACTTTGTTAACAGTGTTTTTTCCAGATTTTTTTCTCCGTGGTGGGGGGCGGGGGGGGGGGGGGGGGGGGGGGGGGGGGGGGGGGGTAAAGATGCCTGGAAGAAACACTGTTCGTTAATATGATGAGGCATACAACCGCTAGATTATGAAAATTTATAATTTTATAATAACATTTTTTTTTGTTAGTGTCAACTAGCTAAAGTTATCAAACCTTATGGCATAAACATAATATAACCTATTATACGAGTTCAGATGCTATACGCGAGCAGTGTTTCTTTCATGCAAAGCAAATCTACCGACCCCCGAACAAACAAAAAAATAGTTTATATAGAAAATATATAATTTTACCAGTGACACAAACCTTCACATGGTGACACAATTCTGAAGGACATTGAAATGATGACACAGACTGGACGGACATTGAAATGGTGACACAGACTGGAAGGGCATTGAAATGGTGACACATACTGAACGGACATTGACATGGTGACACAGACTAGATGGAGAATAAAACGGTGACACCAACCTAGACGGACAGTGAAATGGTGATACAGATTGGGTGGACATTGAAATGGTGACACCGACAAGACGGGCATTGAAATTGTGACACAGACTAGACAGACATTGAAATGGTGACACAGACTGGACGAACATTGAAATGGTGACACAGACTAACCTCGCAGACGACCTCAACGTTTACTATTGGCTGCCATCGGACTTGTCCTGTGTGCTGGACACTCACAAGATCGCCATCCGTCTTAAAATAGTTTTGATCGGTCATTCTGGTGAGCAGGCAAAACAAATCATTCGTTGGTAAGTTTTACATTTTGGGCACTAGACTGCTAAACCGAAAGTCTCGAGTTCGAATCCGAAGTTCAAGTCAGTAGAGCGACCCTGAATCCCTGAGTCCACCCAGCTCTGACGTTAGGGAAAGTAAAGGCGGCTGGGCATAGTGCTGACCACACTATCACTTCATATGCTGAGGTCACATAAACAGGTGAACTATACTTCACTTACCCCATGGACCGTCATGTTCGAAAAGGGAATTTCACTTTTTTTTTTTACTTTACATCATGAGCATTATTTTGTCTTTATAAGATGTATTCCCTAAAGGCACTAAAGCGATAAATGTTTTCAATATAAAAAATTTCATGCGAAATAAATTTAAAATTGCATGAAAGTCCAAGATTAGCAATTTTTAAACACCACGAGCTCATAAATTGTATCAGACGAAGCTAAATAAAAAAAATTATTTGTAAATGTGTCATTTCGTAACAATAGCATCATTCTCCCCTCCCAAAATAATTTAAGACAGCGTTCATCACATCGAATTACTAATTCGCTTTTTAATTAAGATGCTCCCAGCGTGTTTATGAACTGGAGCATTCGAAGCTTGAAGTTTTCGTAGCCTTTTTAAGTTTTAAATCCTAAATAGCCTATTTGTTACTATGCTCCTCGATACATAACATGTTGCGACACAGGTAAATATCGCGTCAGGTATTAGATTTAGTTTTATAAATCCATCTAAAATGTAACTAATCATACCGAATATATGGAAATCATAGCAGTGTGTCAAAAAAAAAAAAAAAAAACGAGAAAAATATGAGTATTAAAATCTCATTCCCGTATTAAAATTATGAAATGTTTATATTATGAATGATTAAAATATTTGCATTCTAGTGTTCTGACATTTTCATCGTTACTCTAGTGTAGCTTGTATTATTGCCATTTTAAGTATAAAAGTACCCCGGACTGATGTGGCTCGATAGTTGGGGACAGCCACTCATCTATTGGAGACAACTCCAAAATCAAACAACTGCTGCCTTGTTTTTTGTTCTTGGTTGGACAAAGGCTATGGAAGCAAATCCAAATGGAAAAGCAGGCTGAAATCTGAGTCAACCGTCAAATGGCGCATTACCAGTTGACACGTATACTTAATTGTGTTGGAGGGAATCCGTTTCAACACACAAAATTAACAACGAAGGTAAAGTATAAATGTACAATGATTTCACGCAAAAAATGACATACTGTTCTGTTTCTTATATAGTCAAACATAACAACACCATCTTACGCATTTGCCACTGCTACTTTGGGTCTCCATATCATTTCTCCCAACACGAGCATGTCTTGAATACCCGAGTAGTTGGATGGGTCCCACATCAGTAGTTCATCTACCCATTGCTTTATGGGTAGCAAGGACAAATGTAATCAGTTTCTTCCAGGCATCTCTTCAGAAAGTCTACCACCCTCCCCCCGAACGAAATGAAAATTATATAGAAAATATATACTTTCAACAGTCCGCCCCCCCCCCCCCCCCGAAGAAAGTCTACCGCCCCCTCCCCCCCCCCGCCCCCTAAAATTTCAAGTGCCTCCCCCCCCCCCGGAGAAAAAAGTCTGGAAGAAACACTGAATGTAATTATAACTATTAGAAGAAAGTCTTTAATTTATTCAGCTGTTAACACTACCAATATTACCAAAGAATCTATTTGTTTTTGTTATTTTTAAATGCTAGTATTAGTTGAACTAGGATTAAACGAACTAGCCATAGATTAACTACTAATTAACTGTTTCTTTCTGAATTTTTTATCCGGGTGGGGGGGGGGGGGTTGCACTTGAAACTTTTAGGGAAGGGGGGGGGGGAATAAATTTTCCAGAGAAGGTGTGCGGATACTGGTAAAGTATATATTTCTATATTTCTATAAAAATTATGTGATCACCTTGCAATGTGCACAAACAATTCTAAATTAAACACTCATGAACCTAGAAGCACAATGTTTTAGCTATTTATGTGCAACAACGAAATATTCTCTGTATAATAATAATATTATTACATATAATATATTTTAAAAGTAATTAACTGTATTTATAAACCAAATATACATTCTAGTCTTTATATTTGAGTCTGAATTAACAATTTTATAAGTTAAACCCAAATATTGCAGTTTTTAACACAAATGTAACAAAAAAAATTTAATACAAAAAAGTTTTAAACCCATAGGGAATCTTTTAAAACATAAAGCAAAAGAAAAGCGTGTAATAATATTGTATTCGTTATGTTGGTTTAGGCCTTCAGTTTTTAAATAAACCAAAAGTAAAAACTTACAAAAGTCATAACTCCACTAAATTTCAGTACCATTTTTTTAATGTCCTGTAGATTAAAGAGATACAAATGTTATTGTTTTCATAATACCATAGTTGATCTACACATACATTCTTCTTTAAACGTTGTTATATTTATTGCACGATACGTAATAGGCTACAAATTATATTCAGATATGGGCATATATCTAATAAATAAAAGCTAATTAAAAACTATTTTTAATTTGCCAGCTCGAATAGAGGTGGATCTTATTTCTTCTTCTTCGTCCTAAATTTTTAGTGTTGGAAGGGATCGAGCCTTTTTCGAATTTAACAACAATGAGCTTTGCCGACTCAACCACGCCTCCAACAGTATGTATACGTGTCAACTGGTTATGCGCCATTGAGGCTATTGACTCCGATTTCAGCCTGCTTTTCTTTCTGGATTTGCTTCCATAGCCTTTGTCCAACCAAGAACAAACTACAAGGCAGTAGTTGTTTAATTTTGGAGTTGTCTCACTCGAGACTTTTCAGTTTAGCTTTACTGACTCGACCACTCCGACCCCTAGAGGTGGATCAACATTTGACAATTAAATTATATTTTTACTTTAGTAATTTTTTCATATTCAAAAAGCGGCCATAGTGTTAGAGGCTTAAAATTAAAACATGATCCGCCTACCAAGCCGATAATGGTGGCAACGACGAGATTGGCGTCCACATCTGTTGGTTTACTGTAGTTGAGACTCGGGCGTACAAGGGGGTTGTACGCAGAAAACAAAGTCTTATGAAGTCTATCCATATCGTGAGCATTGGCGTCTGCTGTTGCTGTTGAAAATATAAGTTTATTTAGGACAGATACGATATTTAAAAAAAAATAGGTTGGGATCAGGGTAGTCATGTGTGACGTCGCTCCCCTCGGATGAGGGAGGTTCTGACATACTTTTGAAATGGGAAGGGGGAAGTAAAAATATTCGAAAGCAGCGTGTCTTCATTTACTGACAACATTTTTTACCCTGACAAAAAGAAGTGATAAGAATTTAAAATTTCATACACGTTATTGTCTGCGGTCACTGTTGATATTTTCAAAATCGATTACAAGTTTAACTTGCCCACGACTTTATTTACTTAACGTAAAAGTTAATTACTTCCCTTTTGCCATCAAATCACTCTGAAGGTTAGGCTCCAATACTTTTTGACACTTTAAAATACTCAATAAAGTTGGTAAAATATGATAAAAAATGTTATATATATATATATATATATATATATATATATATATATATATATATATATATATATATATATATATATATACCATTTTACATACCGAATTCCGAATGAAAACCTGAAGCGTAAAACAGGAAATAGACAAAGAAACATTGCTCCATCCACATGCTTGCTCAGTGGCAACTCAAAAGTAAATAAATTTCTAATAAAAAGTAATGGTTGAATTTTTAAAAAGCATTATCTGAGTTTTAGGCGCACGCAGGCACGCACGCAGGCACACTCGCATATATATATATATATATATATATATATATATATATATATATATATATATATATATATATATATATATATATATATATGCTTATTGTGTGTGAATCTAAATACATTGTGTGTGTTATAAGCTTATCAGTATAGTTATAAGTCGACTGATATGAGCATATTCTAGTCAAACTTCGTCATGCAGTGATTTTAAAATGATAATATTTAAGGTTGAACATCCAGTGTTATTATAGGAACTTGAAACATGATGGTCGTCTAGCATTATCTCCAACTAGCCGAGGTAAAAAAAAATGTATTTTTTGAAAATTGTCCGTTTAATTCAAATGTTTAGAATGCATTGACAGTTTACAATGACACTTTTTAAAAATTGTTATTTACATAGCTTCATCGCTGTAATCAGCGCAAATTACATGTCGTGCACAATAACTCATTAGTAATATTGATCGATTAGAGTTTGCCTAAATCATATTGTTTCACTGATCAACGACATTAGCTGCATTGTTTGAATAAGTGATTGTGTTTTTTTTAGGACCGTGGTCGATAAATGGGTTTTAATTGGGTTTAAGTTTTAACGGTCGTCCTTCCTAATCGCTTTATCATTTACGGGATTAATTTGAGCATGTGTATGTGTGTGTGTATGAATGAGCGAGTGTTTATATGTCATTTTTAAACATTAGAGCACACAAATGGCTAGTTGAAGTGAAATGCGTCTAGAACTATAATAGATCCACTGCCTAAAGGGCAAATGGGAAAGCTTCTCTGGTTTATTCCTATTTCTAAACGTTACTTTATCATAACCACACCCAAAATATATAAGAATAAGTTATAGAGTAGGTATGCTTAGGCATAGGGGGCGGTGGCCGTTACCACTAGGGCAATTTTCAGGACTCATAAAAATAAACAAGTTTGCAACAACAAAAAACAGTTTTTAAAAAATTATGAACTTGGAGCAGTAACTATAATTTAATGTAGAAATTTGTGTTATTTTGTTTTACCTATTATTTTATGATAAATCGCGTGCATTGTTCTTCGCCTGTTCACTTTAACATAATCTTATCTTCTTTTCATGTTTTTTTTTAAATTGCTCGTTATATTTGACAAGGATAAATCGCAGTAACAGCTTTCCATCCATTATCATTTCGATTCTCCAGGAGATTTTATTTGTAGTTTTTGCTGGTTCATCATCTTTTCCCTTATGTGCCCAAAACACATGTCTCACATGGGGCCGTAGTATTCAAGTTACTGAGAATAAGATGCTTAAAATAAACTAGCATAGCTTTTAAAATACTTCAAACAAAATTATGTTGATGACTCAACTGAATTAATTTTGTTTAATTAATGGGCATATTAATAATTTAATAGGCTGGTATTGAATGCGAAAAATGTGTGTAGGTTCAAGATGGCTACGACAGAATTTCATAACGGCACATTAGTCTACTAGTTCTAGTGCAGTAACCTACTTAGATCTAGGCCTACTGTGTGTAACTTACTAACAGTAATGACTCTTCAGATAAAGTTAGTCGATAGAATATTAAATAACACATACATAGGCCTAAAAGTAGTAGCCTGAAATAGCTACTCAGGAGTACTAAGTTCTATCTAACTTCGGTAATCCCTTAGTTTAGCGTCGGAAATTATCGGGTAATGTATGTTGAGTTTCGGTAATTAGAGTTACGGTAAACCATGGTTTATTTGACCATTGAAATATAAATAAATTGAAAGTCGATTGTAGTAAATTAATGTTTTAATTTTTTAAGTTTAATCGACAAAAGGAAACAAGAATAAATATAATAGTAGATTTAAATTAGTAGATCTAAAAATAAAAACATATATAAATATAAATAATGTATCAGATGTAATAATATAATTTAATGTTTTTGGCTTGCAGCGGATTTGCGACCATTAATTAATTAAATCTAGATCTAGCTAGATATCTAGCTGCTAGGCGAAGTTAAAAAATCTAGATTACGAAAATAGTAAAAATGATTACAAAATGTAAAAATGATTACAAAAATAAATCTATCCAAATTTTAAACATTCTGTTTAAAAATAAAAGAAGACGCCAAATAAAGTATGGTTTACGGTACTTCCGGTGAATTCCGGAAGTGTGTGACAGACTTTGTTATTGTTTTACTGTTTTTTACTGCTATACGATTCCGGAATAATAACCGACGCTAAACTAAGGGATTACCCTAACTTCCAAGACTAAGCAGTGATAAAGAAAGATAATAACTAATAACTGTGATAGTTTTTTACTTTTGTGTGATGGATTTGTTCTCTAGAGGAGAGTGACTATAGTCGTTCTTGTCACAACCATAAACACTTCTCCAGTTGCCTAATAGTAATTGTTTTATTTAAGGATGTGTTTCTACATTTAAATATGCCTTTATATTTATTTTCCATCTTTAAATAAAATTTTGTTTATACATTTAGTAGTAGATTCTATATCCGTATCCAACACATTTTCAACTAAAGTCTGTAGGCCTATATTTATTATTTAAGTTCTCCAAATATTGCTGAAGATACCGATCTCTTAGGCTTGGAAAATTTGAGAAAGACAGAGTGAGAAGTGTGCACAAGGGCTTTTTTATAGATCTATTATTAGGATATATAACATTGCTTTATCAGTGATCAGACAATGAAAATATGGCAATTAACAAATCTATGTCAACATTCAGATCAGACCAACAGTTTTCTTAAAACTGCTGAGCTATTGAAACCATAATGGATGATGAAATTGAAAGAAAACCAGATGTCTTAAATATTGAACCTTGTTTACCAGAATCAGTTGCAAGTTCATTTGAAAATCAAATCAAGTCAGAGATTGATATGGATTCAATAGATCACAAATGTTTTATGGATCTTCAGCATTACGATACTACATTAGCACCACCAAGTTATTTAAATGAGGATAAAGCTTTCCAAACAACAGATGGGGACACTGATAATAGTAGTTTCCATCCATATTTTACCATCAAGATTGATAGTTCAAAAAAGAATAAATGTGAGAAAAAAATAGGTGGTATCTGTGATTTGTGTAACAGAGTATTTGTTAACTTTTATAATGTGAAAAGTCATTTGTGTCTTCATTTAGGAGAGAAGCCATTTCCTTGCAGTGTTTGTAGTAAATCATTTTCCAAAAACAGTGACCTGAAAAGGCATCTTAATGTGCATGCAAAGATAAAGCCGTATGCTTGCAAAATTTGTAAAAAGACATTTTCTCAACAGTCTAATTTAGCAAAGCATAACTTGATACATTTAAAACAAAAGCCATTTGCTTGCCTAATGTGTAGTAAATCATTTTCTGATAACAATGCATTGCAGCTTCATTATCTTGAACATACAGAAAAAAAAATTCATTCGTGCATATTTTGCAGCAAATCATTTTCTAAAAAAAGTGACTTATTTAGACATCATCTTGTCCATACAAAGGAGAAACCATTCCCTTGTCATATTTGTAAAAAATCATTTTCCCAAAAGTTTAATTTATTAAAGCATCAATTAATCCATAAGAAAAAGCCATTTGCTTGCTCAATTTGTAGTAAATCATTTTCAACTAATGACACATTACAAAAGCATAGCATTGTACATACAGAAAAGAATCTACATACATGCATGATTTGTTGTAAAACATTTTCTAAAAAGTGTGACTTATACAGACATAATACTGTTCATACGAAGGAAAAATCTTTTGTTTGCTATATTTGTAGTAAATTATTTTCTTATAAATCCAGCTTATTAAAGCATGAATCAATGCACATAAAAAAGAAGCCATTTACTTGCACAAATTGTAGTAAATCATTTTATGATAATGATACATTACAAAAGCATTGTCTTGAACATTCAAAAATGAAGGTTCATATTTGTGAAATTTGTAGTAAATTTTTTTCTAAAAAATGCGACTTAATTAGACATCACCGTGTGCATACAAGGGAAAAACCATTTCTTTGTAATATTTGTAACAAATGGTATTCTTATAAATGTAGTTTATCAAAGCATCAATCACTCCACACAAAATTAAAGCCAGTTCATAGTTCAAAAGTGCTTAGCAATATGCATGCTGAAAAGAAATTTTCTTGTGTTGTCTGTTACAAATCATTTTCTAGAAAACATGACCTTAAAAGACATAATCGTGTGCATACAAAAGGGAAGACTTGTGTTTACTAGGTCAAAGTTAAATAATTGTCTTTACATTTTAAACAACACCTGTAATCACTTTTGTTTTTGTGCATTAAGTACATTCTGCAACTCACATTTAAACAATATTTTTTTAAAATCAAGAAGTAACACCCATTGGGGGCAGTGTGGTAGAGTATTAGACTGCTAACTCAAAGGTCTCAAGTTCAGATCTTGATCTGGACTTGTGACTGTAGAACGTCCCTGAGTCCACCTAGCTCTGATGGGTACTTGCCTCACAATAGCAAAAGTAAAAGCTGCTGGGCATAGTGTTGTCCACATATATGTTGAGGTCAAGAAACATGTGAACTCTACTTCATCTGCCCTATGGATTATTAGGTCTGAAAGGGGAACTTAACTGTTTTTACTTTTAGGTATCACCAGTTGAGCAAAATTGTTTATTCTTTACTTAACTTTTGTTACATAAGATGTTCAACCTTTGTTTTTACTCCATTTTTAAATTTTATTTTTAAATGGTTGAGAAAAAAGTTGAGATTAATGGCTTTATTGTTTTTACAAAATTTAAATCTATGTTTATAAGTCCAGAGGACTCGCTCATAAATGATAAATATTTACAATACCTAATTTATTTTAAAGTACATTTGAACAATAGTCCCATACATGCTTGATTGGTAAGTTGCGTTTTGCTGTATATTGTGAACATTTTTTTTATTAACCTGTATACACTTTTCAATAGGGCCCAAACGAGTTAGAATTTTTTTTAGGTTTTCCCTCATTGTGTAAGTAATAGAAATTTAAATTCTGTAGAAAAAAAACTCTGTGACCTTTGGTCTCCTTATGATTACAAATGTTTTTCTTTTAAGGAAAAAACACCAGTTAACTAATAAGACTGGATAGATTAGAAAACCTACAATAAATTTAGAATGGTAAGGTTCATTTTCCTTAAATAAAGTCTAGTGATGGGATCAAATGCCAATATATTCTTATTTATTTAGTTACTACACTCTGTTATGTATACTCAAGTAAACTCATAGATTTGAAAAATTATTTTTAAAGTTGTTCAGCACACATTCAATAAAATTAATTTATATTTTACACACTTGACTATGTGTTAATATCTTTCTGTTGTTCATGTAATATTTATTTAGGCTTAGATTATAAATTAATAGAATCGTGCAAGGTAAAATGCAAGATATTTTAAACAGCATATAGTAACTAATACAATCAAAACTGTTTCAATTTATTTATTGAATAAAATGTTTACATTCATACGTGTTTTCTTTACTACCTGTAAAGCCTTAATTTAGCGACCATTACATTACATGATGACATGGACAATACGTTTTTAAAAACACTTTTTCTTTCACATAACGTAATTTTAAATGAAACCACATGCTGTTAATGAGTTATTGCTATTCCAACAGAACTCATGATATATCCCAAATCCTATTTGGGGTCGTCTGTAAATATTTTTTTAGCAAATTATGTCAAGCTTTTTTTTAACCAATTCATATCAACACACAAAGACGTACTTTATAAAATGCCTGGACACTTGAGAAAGCCCAAGTTTGAACTACTGTCCCCATATGACGTTCTTTAATTCGTATTTAATTACGAAAAAAAAATTGATACATTTTACATGTATTCTAAAATCAGCTTAAAATTGTTCGGGTTACCGACTTCGTCTCTCTCTCCGCTTCTTTAGGGTTACTAGGCCTATATTGTGGTGAGACAGTGCTACTGCTTAATTTAGAATCTAGGCCTACTCTAGTCTTAACTGTTAGGAGTCATCCATCATGGCGTCACGCTTTTTACGGTTTAACCCCCACCCCTGGCAATGCCCCACCGGCACACATAGTCACAAAAAGCCAGACTCCCCCCTCCCCTTCGTCACACGTCGTCATCAAGAGCCAGACCCCCGCCCCTAAAATGACGTCACACCTCAGCCTACACCCCACCCCCCCCCCCTCAAAATTGCAATTGAATTTTTTTTTAAACAACGATATTTTTCTAAAATCTTGTCTGAACTCTTGTCAAAATAGATTATTTTAATCAATTCCTATTACAATTTGTTAAAACAGTTTTCTAAAACGCGAAATAACGTCTAAAATTAGTTTTCTAACATTGCTTTTTTTAATGCAAAAGTGTGACGTCGCACCATGTGAATCCCCCCCCCCCCCCCCCTCATCTAGGGTTGCCAGATACCTTTTCCGAAAATACTGGACACCTTTCCATCCTTCCCTTCTCGGGTATGCCGCAAAGCAGAAGAAGGGGGGTAACAGAGTATTATTCATATACTTGTCCAGTATTTATATTTATTTTATCCTGGACAGTCTGCTCAAATACTGGACTGTCAGTGTTTCTTCCAGACATTTTTCTCCGGGGGGGGGGGGGGCGGTAGACCTTCTTCGGGGGGGGGGGGCGGACACTGTTAAAAGTATATATTTTCTATATAAATTATATAAATTTCATTTCGTTCAGGGGGGCGGTAAATTTTTTTCGGGGGGGGGGGGGGGGGAACGCCCCCCCCCCCCCCCCCCCCCCCCCGAAGAGATGCCTGGAAGAAACTCTGTGGACTTCCAGTTCAAAACTGGACACCTGGCAACCCTACCCTCATCACAAAATTACGGACCCCCCCTCCCCCCTACGAGTGTGACGTCATTTATGGATGACCCCTAATCTAAAATTCTAAATCTATCGTTTTAGGTCTAGATCTAAGTAAAATCGGCCGAGGCCTAGTAATGTGCGAAAAAGTTGCCTTATTGTTTAAGGCTTTAATAGAAGTATTATTTAGTATATTCACTAGATTCTAGATTCTATATTGTAATAAATTTGTGTCAAATATTATAGATACTGAATAATAAACGAAAATCAATGGCTAAATTAGTAAATAATACAAAAATATCTATCAATATACTGATATTATAGGCCAGAAATTAATTTGAAACAGCAGTGTAAACGAGCATAATTTCAATTTACTTTATAAAAAGCGGCCACCAGTAAGTTAGAGTGGTTTCCCCCGAATCTCTTTCTATAATTCTACAAAAAAAAACCCAAGATGGCTGCTAAAAGTGCTAAAGTGTAAATGAGCTTGGTTACATCTGAATAATCTGATCATCTGATGAAAACATCGCTAGTCTTTTTTTTACTGAAAGTTTTTAATACAATTTTATAAAATTAAAAACAGGTAGATCTAGATCTACACAACACTCTACAGACAGGTAAAACTCCATTTTAGCGTATTTTATTCCCCGCTTCTACGTTCACCTCCAGTTGAGCGTATTTTAATAGTATTTTATTATCACAACCGTAACAAAATGTGACAAAATCAGACAAAAACGTTAGGCAATCACTCGGCCTAGATCTAGAATTAGATCTAGATCTAGATCTAGATCTATTTCTTTTTGAATTTTTGGTTTAGCTTTTTAAATAAAATTTGTCAAAACTTGAGAAAAATAAAAAAATGTGGAATATTTAATGTGTACTATTAGGCCTACTATTTAGATCTAGGCCCTATATTATATAGAAAATAGGCCTATATATTAAAAAACATCACAGTGCCGCCCCCCCCCCCCCCCAAGAAAGTCTATCCCCCCTTGAAAATTTCAACTCTCCCCCCCCCCCCCCCCCCCCCCCGGAGAAAAAAGTGTGGAAGAAACACTGGATTTCAGATTTCACATACCTAAAACGATAGATTACTAGATCTAGATATATGGGCCTAACTAATCTAACAAAATTATCCGGTAATGATTGTTTAATAAAGTTTAGTTTAGTAAACATTCATTACTGTGTAGGATAAACCATGGAGTTTATTGATTGACCATCAGTTGAAATAAAAAGTCGCGTGTAAATCTATTAAATTAATGTTTTAACTTTTAAGTTTAATTGATAGATCTAGACAATTACTATAAATCAGGAACAATTAGAATTAGTAGCCTAGATCTAAATTATTCTTTATAGGCCTAGGCGCCTATTAATAATAAAGTCCAGCGTAGTATTTTTTAAATAAGTAGTAGGGCCTAAAAAGAATCTAGATATAATTCTTTTTTTAAGAAACAAATAAAAACTTACAGAAGATTTGCGACAACTAAATTTAGATCTAGTATCTAGTTCTACACTTAGTAAAATTAAACAATTAGGTAGTTATTAGATTTACTAAAGTAGTAAGAAGGACTAGAACAATGTTTAGTTAACAATAACAAGTACATATAGATCTAATACCTAATAAATAATTAGAACTGCAAATAATTAGCAAAACAGTAGGACCTATTTAAAATGCAACTAAAATCAATCTATCCAACCTTTTAAACATTATGTATTAGATAAAGATGGTGCCAAATAAAATATTGTTTACAGTGCTTTAGGTGGTTTCTGGAACGGCATGACAGAATATGCCCTGGTTTTACTGTTTTTTACTGCTGTGCCATTCCGGAATAATAACCGATGCTATATTGTGAGATTACCAATAAAGTTATACATTTTGTCTCTGATATAGAATTCTAGTCTAGTTACTAGTTTTCTAGTAGTTGGGTATCTAGTTCTAGTCACTACTAGTACAACAACAACTACTACTAGAGTTATTTGAATATAGTACACTGATAGCAGATCTACAAATATTTATGTAGTGCCTACCATGTAATAAATGTACTTAAAATGTATTGTAGGCCTAATTGGTTGTTAATCCTAATATTAATATATTTTAATATAAATGTAGGATTACACTGTGATTATTTATAATATATATGGCTATGCGGCTATACTATCAATACTACAATGGCTATGCCATCCTCCTATTATTAAACTATTATTAATCATCCTAGCAGGCCCTACTGCTATCTCAGTATCTGGGCCTTGGTCAAACAATAACATCCAATTAGAATAGGGTGTATAGAACCATAAGGATTTAAACAAGTTGAAGAAAAGCAACAAAGAAATGAATCACCTGAATATGAGAGAGTGTGTTTAAAATTAAGCTGTTAGAGATGGTAGGCCTAAAGTTCAAATATTTTATTATAAGCTTTTTTCTTTTCTTTAACATATACATTTCTGCCAATTTTTTTAACACCTTCTCTTCACGATTCAGAAGCAGCTGTTTTATACTTTTATTCATTATTTAATGAGATTAATATATATTTCATTATCTTATCTTCACAGAGAACAAGAGTTTTCTTGACATAAAGGTCCACCTGCAGTTAAAATGGAAATAAAAGTTGAACCAGATGTTCAAACTCTTTCAAATTCAGAGACAATTTTAAGTGAGCATGGTTCAGAAAACTCCATAGACCACAAAAGTTTTGAAAATCTTTTTATTTATTTTAACAAGGTTGCAGGCTCCGAGAGTGGTCAAGATAAACCCTTTGTGTGTGATTTGTGTAATCAAGTGTTTAATACCAGGCGTAATATAAGGCGCCATATGTATCAGCATTTAGAAAAGAAGCACAGCATGCCTTCAAAATCAAAGGAGAAGTCATTTATTTGTGAAGTGTGTGGTAAATCATTTAGTACAAAAGGAAATATGAAGAGGCACGAGAAAGTGCATGTGCTAGTGAATAAACTTTCTTGTAAAGTTTGTAATAAATCTTATACTAGAAAGATTACTTTAAATAATCATCTGTGTGATAGTTGTAACCGTGAATTGAATGAACATAATTTGATGCCCTCAAATAAAAAAGTATTCATCTGTAATGTATGTAGTAAATCATTTAGGAAAATGGCTTATTTGGAAATACACCACCGCGTGCATACAAAGGAAAAGCCATACACTTGCGAGGTGTGTAACAAATCTTTTACCACAAAGAGTCATCTCTATCAGCATCAGTTTGTGCATTCAAAAGAGAAGCAGTTCATTTGTAAATTTTGTGGTCAATCTTACTTCCATAAAAGCAATTTAAGGGTGCACATTTATACGCATACAAAAAGAATTGAATATAAATGTGACATATGTAATATTTCATTTCGTACGGAAGATAATTTCAAACAACATCAATATTTTCATACTAATGTGAAGCCTTTCTCTTGCAATGTGTGTAATATGTCATTTTCTCGAAAGGAGTACCTAAAACGGCATTCTATCGTGCACAGCAATGAGAAGCCATACACCTGTACTGTGTGTGGTAAGTCATTTGCACTAATGAGCAGATTGAATATTCATCATCGCGTGCATTTGAAAGTCAAACCCCATGCTTGTAGTATATGTGACAAATCATTTTCCAAACGCTGTGATTTAAAGCAGCATCTTCGTGTGCATACAAAAGAGAAACCTCATGAATGCTATGTCTGTGCTAAAAGATTTGCCCGATATGATAACTTAAGAGTACATATACGTACACATACTAAAGAAAAGCCGTTTAGTTGTAATTACTGTTCTAAATCCTTCACTCAGAGGTCGAGTTTAAAAGTTCATCGACGTGTTCATACCAAAGAGAAACCTTACTCCTGTAACATATGCGGTAAATCATATAGTCAAAGTGTAAGTTTGAAGCTGCATATGTTCTTGCATTCGTATAAGACACACAGTTGTGATCAGTGTGGCCAAGCGTTTGATGATTTTAAACAAATTAAAAAACATATGCTTTCACATAAGTAAGAGCAGCCCTGTAGAATCATTTATTCACAGGATATTATCATATCATTATATTTTCCAGTATTTATACGTCAGTTTATAAAGTTGACATCAACCAACGTATCTGCAAATAAATGACACAAGTTTAAAAAAAATGAAATTCAGGATTTAATTGGATCTCATTTTATGAGCTACATTGGTTTGGTTATTTTATACTTTTTATCAGTATTTTAATGGGATGGTATGGTAGGGCAGTAGATCTCAAAAACATTTATAACCATGTTGTGCATTATTTCTTAATTAACTTAATACTGTTTTCTCTATAATAAAATACCTGATCCTTTTTGTGAGGCACAGCCTGAGAAACTAAATCATAGCTATGACACCTGTATCCTCTTAGCTAGTTAGACTTTAACCCCCACCAGCCTGGTTGATGGCACTTAACCCTTAAAGCACGCCAAGCCACAATCGTGGCTTTGCTGTTACATAACTTATAAGGTCACATGGTGCACGCTTAAAGGGTGAGTTAATAGCTTGCCCGCAACTGAGTTTTTCTTGTTGTGGGCAAATCATATTTACTTTGATAAAAAGTGTTATGTGCACCTTTATAAGTGGCTGATGATTTCAATTTTAATACGCTATTGTATATTAAATACATTGTAATTTTAATTAAGGTATTGTACATCCATGTTTTGTATAGTTGTAAGTTTTGTTACATTTATATGAGTTTTTTAATTGAGTATTTTTTTTTTTTTTTAAATTGTTATTGTTAGATCTCATCATAAAATGAAGTATAACATTTTTTTTTGTAACTGTCTTCATTTATGTAAATCAATGAAATGGAGTTCAGATTTATCTTCATTTGTTTAACAATGAAATAAAATTAAGTTCATTGTTTTGCAATAATTGTTCTCATTATCTTGACAATTTCTACTCATGTGAATAATTAATAAACCATAAGTGTTGCTCATAAGTGACTCATCATTTTCAGTGAACCAGAATACCTTTAAAGATTTTTACCAACCCTTTTCGTTCCTATTAACTAGACAGCCTTTCACGCAAATTTGATATTGTTTATCTAATGCTGTTTTGATTGTTTTTTTTCTCTCTCAACTGATGTTTCGAAAAAATTATTCTAGTCATTTTTTTTTGTTTTTTTTTGCTGGGCACTTTCTGGTAATGTTTGTTGTTTTTGCCATTGTTGTTCTTTCATACAGTTCCCTTAACTCAGAAGATATTTATGTGTTGGCATGTGACTTACTTGACTTAGTCCTCTTTGCCCAATCCCCAGTTATTACTTTTGGCAATCTCCCAAGACATCCCTGTTGGCTTCAGTTCTTCAAGAATACTCCACCTCCAAGTCTGTCTTAGGCGCCCTCTCTTCCGTTTTCCCTGGGGATTCCACTCCAGTGCCTGACATGTCACATTAGAGTGAGCCTTTCACAGTGTGTTCCACCCAGCACCACTTTCTCCTTCTTATTTGTACTGTCATGGGCTCCTGCCTTGTCCTTCTCCATGGGTCTGTATTAGGCCCTTTGTCCTGCCAACTTTATATTAAAATCTAAGACATTTGTTCATGAAGATCTGTATCTTCTCAGCTTGTCTTGGAGACTGTCTCTGTTCCATATAGCAAAACTGCCTTGACATTTGAATTTAGTATCCTAATTTTTGTTGTGTTGGAGATGGCAGAATTTTTCCAGATGGGTCGCAGAACTGTAATTCTAACACATGTCTTCATCTGTACCTCCCGATTTGCTGATCTTGCTACCAAAGTAGACAATTTCTTCCACATCATTTACATGTCTTCCATCTATTGTCACTGGGGTCTCCTGGTTATTGTTGATCCTTTGCAGGCTCCAACACTGGCTTGCTTAAATATTCCACAGGTGTGTTCTACTGAATCAAAATCTTTTTCCTCTGTGTCTGTAGAGCTACAAACAGAATTTTCTTAGGGCGACCTGAAAAGTTTTTGTGTTTCTTGTGACTGGAGTTTACTAAGTTACATCAAACCTTCCTCATGAGTCAATTTCCTGTTGCCTCTTCTTTGCCTTTAGCTTCATCTTCAGTTTAGCAACAACCTTGTGGTGATCATATCCTATGTCAGCTCTTTGCTTTGTTCTCACATCCTGCAGTGAGTCCCTCCAGCAATGCCATGCCATGACTTGATCAATCTGGTTTTCTGTATGATGATCTGGTGATATCCAGGTGGTTTTGACATGTATATGTTGTTGAATGTAAAAATATAATTAGAAATATAAAAAAACTCAACATTTTGAGACAATAAATTAGGCACATGAAAATTTGACCCGTGTTTGTTGTTGCTACTTATAGCGTTTATTATTTTATAAAAGCCATTTTATATCACTGCAATTATGCTTCAAATAAATATTATTTAACAAGCTTCATAAGACATAAGGTTAAATTGTTTTTAAAATGCTGTTCCTGTATTTTTTGGACTTTCAATGAGTTTTGGACATTTTCTAAGTAAAGTCCAGATGTTTTTTTTAATTTTGTCTCGTATTGAACTCATACCCTAGTCAGACCATGATCACAGCATATGGCACTAGGGTCTTCAATAGGTTGGACTTTTTTGTTTGTCTAAAGAAACCACATCAAACTATTAGTTTCTCCAGAAACCCCAAATGAATTTGTTAGTTTCTCAATACAGTATATACATTTATAAAATTATCTTGACCTAGCTGTCATCAAAGTAATTTTTCCACACAACCTGATCATCAGAAAAAAAACCAGTTGATATGGATGAAGTAATGCAACTGCTCAACTTTTTTCCTTTATATTAACGACCAGACATTTCTCCTATCAGATTTAAAGGTTACACATTTCAACAATTCTGTGCAAATTACCACAGTAAATTGTTTACCCCCAATTTTATCATGCCAGATCACAGAAGACTCAATCAACAAATAAGGGAAAACATCTTGGTTCAATAACTGCTACTTTTGAGGGAATGTTCATTTTTGTAGTGGATAAAAGAAACTATCATGTTATAAAGCTTAACAAAAAAAACACAACAACCTTGGAAAGCTGTTTTAAGTTAAGGTCGGCGTGGTAGAATCGGTTAAGCTCATGGTTGCTAAACCGAAAAGTCTTGAGTTCGAACCCTCGGGTAGATGAGGCTCGTTAGCTGGGGACAGCCACTCTTCTAGGAGAGACATCTCCAAAATCAAACAACTGCTGCCTTGTAGTTTGTTCTTGATTGGACAAAGGCTATGGAAGCAAATCCAAAAAAGAAAAGCAGGCTGAAATCGGAGTCAATGGCGCATAACCAGTTGACACATATCCTTAATTGTGATGGAAGCGTGGGCGAGTCGGTAAAAGCTCATGGTTGATAAATTTGAAAAAAAGTTTTGAACCCTCTGGCAGATAAAGCTCGATCACTTCCAACACTAAAAATTAAGAACGAAGAAGAAGAAGTTAGCTATAAAACTTTATACACCTAAAAAGTAATTGCTACTGTTAAGCTAATGCTTATTTTTTGTAGCGAATAAAAGAAACTGTAGGCTATCACCTTAGAAAATACTTTTTAGTTAGGCATAAAACTATATATACTTCACCTAAATTTTTAAAAAAATCCTAATTGACTATACACACTACTATACCTATTTGAATATCTTCTTTAGAAACAATTTTAAGCTTGACAGTGTGCCAATAGAAAGATATCTATAACTGCATGCATCACATTGCTTTTTCCTTCTATATCACGGGTTCCCAACCTGGGGGTCGCGACCCCCCTGGGGGTCGCGAAGGTCTTTCTGGGGGGTCGCCAACTGGTATACCAAACCTTAGTTATTTGAAATAAAACATAAATATTTAGAAGAATTTTTGAAATTCGGCTTCATTAACATCACTAGAAATGTAATAGAGAAGAAACAAAGCGCACTGTACAAAGTTGTTCTCAGTCACGAATCTATGAAATCTTCAAAACTAAAACGCCATTTGAGACGAGTCATTCGGAACACACCAAAAAAATTATGGAGTTCTTTCGTCGGTAAGAAGCTAGTTGCAAACGCCAGAGACTTGATCGAACAGGAAGTTTTCACCAGCATTAGTGCAAGCATCAAATGAAGTCGCGATAGAAAATGCCAAGCAAAAAAAAAAAAAAATAGGAGAAAATCTCATCAAACGCTGCATGTACGTAAATGTTAAATAAGACATTTTTATCGAAATTAAGCTTTCACCATTGTTTGCTTTTCAAGTTGATAAATCAACAGACGTGAGTTCGTGTTCGCAGTTGCTGGTCTGTGTCTATATTCATGCGGATTATAGCAAAGAAGAGTAACAGTTGCTCTTTTGTGAAGATAGCATGGAGAAAATAAATACCTTTTTTGAAATTGGATGATTAAAATGGGTTAGAACGGCTGTGGGGGTTTGTACGGATGGTGCGCCATCTATGTTTAGCTTAAAATCGGGCTTTCAGAAAACAGAAAAGATTTATCTCCCTAACCAATAAACATCAAGAGTCCATTTCTAGTATAAGTCGTACATTATATAAAATATGGATCCTTCAAAGAACTGAGCAAAAACATTAATATAGATCACGAGGTTCTGCTCTTCTACACTACAGTACGCTGGCTGTCAAACGAAATGTTGTAAATTGTGTTTTTGAATTGAAATCTGAAATCAAATTGTTCTTGTGAGTGCAAATGAAACAAGACTTTTTGGTATACTTAAAACGACATAGAGTGGTCGGAGAGACTATCATACCTAGCAGATGTGTTCGAACATCAAGATCAGCTTAACCTGAAGCTTCAAGGAAAATGAACGAATATTACAAATTCCATGATAATCTCGGGGCATTTTTATCAAAGCTGCAAAATCGGTAAAGAAAAAAAAAACTTGGAAATATTGTAAATTTGAGAAACTCTGCGGTGTGGTAGATGAATCTGATTGTGAGATAATTAAAATTTTGAAAGAAGCGATTTCTGGGCATCTTGAATCTCTTGAAAACGAACTGCATCGCTATTTGTCTGAGCTGAAAAAAGAAGAATCTGCATTTACGCATTACCCATTCTCTACTTCCCTTGATGTTGCCAGCATTCACGAAGAATTACAAGATGAATTCTTTGATTTCCAGAATGATTCCGAGTAAGATGAAAAACTGCAGACACAATTTTGGTATAGTATTAACCATTCATATCCAAACGTAAAATTGACTGACTTTTCGAGAATATATTTTCAACACTATTCTTCGATTAAAAACAAAATTAAGATAATTATAATGACATAAGTTGGCGTTAACAAAAAAAAAAATTAAAATTAAAAACTTAACCACGAAGGTTCATTGAATAGTATGCAATTTTACTCATGCTATTAAAATAGTTATCAAGAGTAGTTCATATTGAAAATCTACTAGAAAATCTTATTTTAGTGCTTATAAATTTCCATGCTAATTTCGGCCTTTTAATTCTATGGGGGTCGCGGGTCACTTACTTTTTATAAAAGGGGGTCGCCACTCGAAAAAGGTTGGGAACCACTGTTCTATATTGTACACAGCAATATATATAGATAAAGACTTTTCACTAGTTTATGATTTCCAGAAACATTCATTTTTTTCTTCTATTCAGATACCTCAGTTTTTAAAAACCGACTACATATAAGTTGAGTAAAAAGCAATTTAAAAAAATTTAATGTAGGCCTATAGTTTGAGATTGAATACTGTAGTGACAAAAAAAATGTATTTTAGTGCTTAATTATATGTATAT